GACCCGGTCTCTTATTTGAGTTCATCGCTTTGCGCATGCGCACTAAGAAAGCACGTGGTGTATCAAAAAAGGACGCGGTTTTAGGTTGTGCAACTACAATTTTTGTAGTGGCTAGTGCTTTCTTTCATTATTTGAGCACGGTCCACTATATTTTCATCGGTACATCGCTGGAAATGGTGGATTTTTAACACGTCATAATATAGAACTTCAATATTATGACGTAATAAAAATCCACCATTTCCAGCGATGTGCCGATGAAAATATAGTGTACCATGCTCAAATAATGGACCATGCCCAAATAAGAGACCGGGGGTCCAACCCTCTTCAAAAAACAAAAGACCGGGTCTATTATAAATCGAGGAAATACGGTATGCTAGATCTGGTACTTTATGCGACCTTGAGTCAAAAGGACCAACATATGCGAGAATATGCGCAAGCATTTTCGGGCCCTCCCTAGTTCACAGTCTGTTCACGACTGCACTGTACAATCATGTACAAGCATGTCGTCAAGAGTACAATGTACACTTTGATTTTTATGTCATAGAAATCAAAATGTTCTCTTGATATGATGTCATGGATTGGAGTAGTCACTAGGCACCATGCATTATAGTAAAAGTAAAGTTCGCACGTCCGTGTTACCACCGGCTATACACTTGTATTGAGAAACACAACCTGCTTGCGAAGTTTCACATGTGCCAGTCCACCACTAGCAGCCGCGGCGGATAATGCTTGAGAATTTGATGGATTCTGCTTTTCAACATGCTCACATTCTGCTCCAAAATAGCACTGACAATGCTTGAATTCTGCTTCGGAAAAAGTCACTAGGCACCATGCATTATACTAAAAGTAAAGTTCGCACGTCCGTGTTACCACCGGCTATACACTTGTATTGAGAAACACAACCTGCTTGCGAAGTTTCACATGTGCCAGTCCACCACTAGCAGCCGCGGCGGATAATGCTTGAGAATTTGATGGATTCTGCTTTTCAACATGCTCACATTCTGCTCCAAAATAGCACTGACAATGCTTGAATTCTGCTTCGGAAAAATTGAAATAGTGGTTTAGATTACTGATGTTGCAGATTGATAACAGCATACATGTATTTTGCAGCATAATTAAGTCATGTTCTACGAAACAGAACAATTACAAGAAGCACAGAGTTATTATTACACAGCAGGCAAAGGTGCGGTAGTAGTCGCGAGGGCATTGTGAATTCTCACGAAAATCCCATATTTTGCAATAATATGCTAGTTTTCTGCAACACTTGCCGGATTATGCTAGCGCAGTGCTAGTTTCCAGAAAGTGCTAATTATGCTCTTGTGTGTATGCTCGATATACATGTAATGCTAGCATTATCTGCCGGGGCCTAGCCACCTACATGCCTGTGATACCAGGGTGGCAGATGCAGCTCCTAACGACGAGGGTGAGGTGGTAAGTCTCACAACCAATGCACGACAAGGGGGTGAACCTCGCTAGCTGCATCTACGTTACCCTCACTCCGAGTAGTGAGTAGTACCCAGTTGACCGTGCACACGTGGGTGTCGGCGCAGTTCCTTGCATATAGTGGTTCACGGATGCATCACCGCTTTTGCTAGCACAGTACACGCTCCCTGCTCCCAGCGCGGGTCTCAAACTCGGGACCTTGTGATTCGCAGGCAAGCCCACAACCACTCGGCCAAAGCGCTGGTATCAGTCCATTCATAAAAAGGATGGGCCCTGGCTCTGGGGAGCTCCCGTATTTGGCGATTTTTCGTGATTTTATTGTACACAGCGCAGTGCTGCGAAATTTGAAATTTCAACTTGAAAGGGTCCAAAAAGGTACCTCAACTTTATTTTTGACAATAAGTTAGCTCGTACAAGAGGCTTGGTAACAACACGAGTTGTACTGTGAAAGAAACCTGAACTGGGGTTCGAACTGCACAATGAATGCACTGTTGCAGGCAAGGTCAAATGGCCTGGATTTTGATGGTTTTTCCCAATTCAGTGCTTTTGGGGCAAAACCTGGCCGAAATCCTATTCTTGGTAGGCCGTCTTGCTTTTTGGACAAAAAAATTAATAAAGCTCGGACTTTGGGAAGAGGACTCCATAGGCATAGACTAGGGCCTAGGGCCAGTAGGGGATTGCAGAAAAAATTCTAAAAAAACCTTTGACCCATTGTAGATCAAGGGCGTGTTTGGTTGGTACGACCTAGAACAGAATTCACCAGAACACTCGCCCGTTTGGTTGGGACTGCACCTGTTCTGGGTCCGCCAGAACATGTTCTGCTTGCTCTGACCTCGAGGCCAGAGCAGACCGAGCAGTTTCACTTCTTCACAGTGAAACCTGACGGGAACAGCGAGTTTGGTCCCAAATGATCACGTGCATACGCTGTTGGGTTGGACTCGCTGTACCGTACAAAGTGACCATGGTGACCCATACACATTTTGAAGAATGCACCAAGTTTGGCACATTTTTTTCGCAAAAATGTGCTCCGTTTCTGGAGTACCGTTTGGTTGGATTGAGGCTGATCCATATGCACCAGCTGTTTTTTTTTCAGAGAGAGAAAAGCCTCTTGTTTTTAATACAGGCAAAACTAAAAAAGCGATGTTGCACAATCATGTACACATGGATGTCAAAAACTATGTCAAAACTAAAAATATGTTTTTTTAAAGAGCGAACAGTGACGGTTTTACTGTAAAGAAAAATTGCCTGAAAAGATTAGTTAAAAACCATTCATTGAGTGACAGTCAGTATCCCAATCAGTGCCTAACTCCGATGCCCGCTCCATCGTGGAGGGACAACCCAATGAGTCGTCGGCGGGATCCACACAGCCGCAGGTCGACAGCACGAAAGATCGCGAACTGGGTGCGGATACGAACCCATGCCATCACAGACGGCATATGACCTCCCCCACTTGTGTGCAAGCTGACTGGCCAGGCGCTGCTGGTAGGCAGCATACTCGCGATGAAGTACGGCATCGGTGGAGCAAACAAGAAGAGTAAACGATGCACGCAACTCCTCGCTCACCTGGCCATACTTCTTCTTGTTTTCTGCTGCTTTCCGAGCAACGGCTTCCCAAGATGACCGGCGGTAGCTGGGTGCATCAGCATCAACGATGCGATTGTCGGACAATGCCACCCGGCTACCCTCCCACCCACCCCGGGCTGACCAATCAGCTTGCAGGGCAGGACGGTTGTTCCGATCATCCTCCGGAACGAGAACAGACTCAACATGGACACCACCAAACGCTACCTCGGCGAGTCTGGCATCTGAGTCGCGGATGTCGTTATGCCCTTTCTTCACCAGGCCACCCTTGTGGCAATCCAACCCATGCTGCTGGGTGAAACGAGCGCCGCAACCATCGCACTCAGCAGGAAGATGCATGGGCTCGTGCCCATATCTGATGGCGAGCTCATCGGATCCCGGAACTGTACAGACGACATGTCATCATAGTAATCTTCTTGACGTAAAG